CTCTGTGGGGCCCGGGGCTCGCCGGGGCTGGTTTCCTTTGAAACAGGTACCTTTTGTGCTGTTCCACGCGTGGATAATGGTCAGGCTCGAAAGCGATGCCGTGTCTGCGTCCTGGGAAAGAGAGAACCTTCACTATCGTTTTAAAGTGCGGTTTGCCACCTAGATGGAAATAAAATCTGCTTCATTAGTAAGAGTTAAAGGCTTCTTAAAGCACTTGTAACAGTGTGGTGAAGCTCTCTCCCACTCGCTGCCTTGAAATTTACTGACTACAAATGATCAGCCCTTGGGTTGCTCTGTAAAGAGACATCTCTGACTGATGGGCTTAATTTTCTGGTGGTGGGTACCCCTTTTGGCTGCAGTATTTAGCAGTTTAAATGTGTAACAGTCTATCTGCAGTTTTTTGAGCACAAGGGTTTTCAAAAAATATTGATTGGACTGTATGAGTCCTTAAGGAGTCAAGACATGCTTCTGGACATTACCTGGAGCTCACACAACTTTTGAAGACACTGATGCGTAACTGCTTTCACACCTCTCTGATATTCACTGTGGAGCGAATCCTTTTCTTTAATGATCTTTTCTAAGAAACAGAATGTTTTAATAATGTCAACGTCATCTTATTTCCCAAATCAGCTTCATACTGGCCCAGAGCCCTTGGTGGGGAAGGGAAGGGGTACTAGGACTGCTCTGTATCGTGTTCATGCCTTTTGTCCTGCCTTAGTGATGGGTTTGTCTAGAGACTGGTGGCTCAGGCAACAGCTGCAGTGCAGACCTGGGGCAGAAATGTGGGAATCACACCCGTGTTGAAAGGAGAGTGAGTGCTTGGCAAGGTCTGTGCTTTCCTCGTCACCTGTATCGTTCTGTGCCAAACTGGGTCTGAAACTGATAGTGCTGTTTCACTTTGTGATAAGAATTGTCAACTGGTGAATTTGCAGCTGGGTTTTTTTGGTGGACCCACAGGTATAATTTGCAGGGAAAGGCTGATGAGGCTCTGGGGAGGGTGGGAGATCCAGCTCTGACTTAGGACAGCCAAGTAGTATTTTTGAAGATTAATACAGATGTTCTCTAGGCGCATTACCTGATGGCTGCCTTCATTTTCCAAATGAGGCTAAGTTTATAGCTAAGATCACAAGTTGATAGGATTATCAATTCCTGCTGAAACTTTCAGATAATACACAAAATAATGACTGATATTTATGACACCTGAGTCTTTGGAGACTGGAAATAAGCACTTTAGAGTTTAGACTGTTGCAGGTTCCAGTGAAGCTGAATGCAACAGCCTCATCAATTCCACTAGGGCAAGGTGATGTTTCATGGATTGATACATTATATCTGTTTACAGTCTAAATAACAGAGTATTTCCTAAATATTTGGAGCACTGTTATTTTTTTCTGTCTTCACTTTGAAAACACAGGTCTCTTATTGAGAAGACTGTGTAGAGTAACCATAAAAATGCATAAATTCTCTTACTATATTTTGTGAATAATATGTGCTTGGAGAGAAGAGCTCAATTACTCTGGCAATGACATTACTATAGCAAAAAACGTTTAAGGATGATTTTACGTTTCCATCAGGCTTATTGTGAAAATTCACCAGTTCTATTTATCTGACCTTACACTGTTTCAAAAATAAAACAATACTTTTCAGGTGAAACATTTTGTCTAGTTGTTAATTTGTTTGTGGTGGGCTTTAATTTTTTATTTTTTTTTAATTTCCTGCCAAGAATCTCTCTCTGTGCTGTGGGTGTGTGAAATTTTGTGTGCCTAAGTACAGTCAAACTCTGTGAAACCCTTTGGGACTAGGTGCTGGAGAAGTTAAGAGGTTTAGTAATGGGAAGAGTAAGTTAGCAATTTTAAAATATTTGCTGAGGTGCCAGTTTGTCATTTATAATATAATTATATATATGCAGTTTATTTTTCAGAAGAAACTTTAGGAAATCACAGTAGATCCACTGCTTGTTAGTTTTTTAGCTCTTCCATTTAATTCAGAGTGATTGGCAGACTTGGTCCTTGGATTGAAATCTCTTGATACAGCTTGACATTCAGATGGTGAGCAAGAATATTCAAATTTTAGTGGTAAAATCTGTTTGCAAGAAACACAGAAACACCTGCAAGTATTCTAGGAGGGAAAAATGAAGCCCTTATATTCCAAGATGTAGAGTACCTGCTGTCTACTGCAAATAATACTCATGTGAGTGGATTTTCCCTGAGGGTAATTCTTACTATAAATAGGATCTCTTGGCCATATTGTAGCATCTGGCACAGACTGCTGCTGGTGACAGGAGAGTTCAGCCCAGGCTCAGGCTGTTACAGTTATTAGGAAAATAAAATTTCAGGTAAGCAGTTTTGTAGACTTTTAGAATCAAAGCATTCCTGTTGTAAAAATACATAAGGGTGTTCACATCAGCTGTAAGCTGTATGTATCTAAAATAGAGATACACTTTAAAATAGTAAATAAATAAACTCTGTTCCAGTAAGATGGAAATAATCTTACAAAAACTTCCTTAAATTAAGCAGAAGCAGCCATGCATTTCTGCTGTGTATTATATGGGCACACAAAGCATTCCACTGCACATTTACATTACTGACTGCTACAGTTAGGGATTTTCAGCTGCTGTGTCTTTCCTGGCTTTCCAGGGATCCACTTCAGCCCTCTGGAGAAAAGGAAGCTGGTAAGTCACTGAAAACTCAACCAGCTTTTTGTTCTTCAGGATGGGCTCAGTAGATTGAGCACAAAGCTCAGTAAATTACCAAGAGGGCTGAGGCTTTATATCCTTGTCAGGATGTGTGGGCAGCGTTTCCCATGGTAAATACAGCTGCAAGGGCTGCAGCAGGGTTTCTGCAGGAGAGGGTTGGGATCCTGATGGGACCTGGGGCACTGTTAGCATGGGGCAGAGGGAGAGGGATTGTCTTGGAACACTGAGCTGTGGGATGTGCTGGGGCTCCATGTAGGAGGGAACTCAGTGGGGATTTTTTCCATCTCATGTGTAAAGTTCAAATACTTGTTCCCTTCTGTCTCTAGACATCCTGCCTGCCTAGCTGGAGGATAGAGGGATTATTAATCAGGAATTCTTTTTACACTACAGCTCAATAAAAGCTTCAGTGTCTCTTTTTTTATTTTAATCTAGGGAACTCTAAAGAACCATCTCACCCCGAGGGGCATTCCACTGATGTTTGCAAACTCTGTTTTGCTCTTGTTAAAGCACCTGTTGTAGAGGTACAGCTGTGTGGTGATTGTTCAAGCTTGACAGAACCCCTTCCAGTTTCAGGTCTTACCAATGGTATGGGGTATCTGGGCACATTCTTCCTTTAGGGCTTTGCTTTGGTGATCTAGGTATTTTTGAGAACGAGAGCTGTTTTTCAACCTGGGAGAGATACAGGAATAAATAATTTTAAATGTTCTTTATGATAGAGAAAGCCATTTTTGGTTGTCCTGGACATGTGCTTTCTTGGGGTCTTCTAGTAATATGTGCTGCTCCTTTATTGAGAGAATAGTTTGC